GAATATGGTCTCCTGCGGCGACAACCATTTGACCTAATTATTTCACTTTCGTTCTACTATTTACATTAATGTCTTTTTTTCTTATCATTATCATTATCATTAACACTGTACACTAGTGTGAACAAATGAGTTAAGCGATTGCATTTTAGTACCAGTAATTCTTGTTTTTGAACAAATTTTCAAGTCCTACGTAGATAATCATAGATTTGCGTCTTGTCTCGTCAATCGATATTCTTTCATCGATTGATTGACCGCTATAGCCGCCCTTCTTCTCTTTTTTCATCTTCTCCATTTATATTGAGGCTACTTTAAAAAGAACGTCAATCGTTTTCTTCTTCTTCTCCTCCTCTTTTTTTCCTATACATACTCATTACAATTGAACGACGCATTTTGTTTCAACAATGGAGTACTCGTAAAATAGAGTACCTCCTGTTTTAATGATTTGGCTCGTTCTATTCGTTGCTTTGTTGTAACAACTTCACACCGTGAGTACGCACACATACATATACTTACAAAGAAATACGATAGAAAAATTGACCATCATCACTACCCTATCATCATTCTCTTATTAATTTGTTTAAGAACATACCAAGCGTATATTAATTATTTTCTTTTTTATATTCAATTATGCCATTGAAATCATTCATATATTTGGACAAGTAAGTTTCCTGCCTTTCGATCAGTTTGATGAACCGTGAAAACAATATGTTTATTGTGCAACACTTGGAAATTATCGAGTGTACATATTTATATATATATATTGTCTTCGCAATGACTTTTACTTATTCATTGAGTATTTCAACTAGTAGCATGAAATAATGAATAAGACAGATTTCGACTTACGACTGTGTCATATTACGCATTCGTTCAACATAAAAAAGCGCCTGTCTGTCTTGTCATCTCACTGAACAAACCCATAATGTAATATGAATGCAATCATTATCATATCATCATTGATATATATATGAGCTGACTTTTGGACAATAAGGAGATCGATCGAATAGTACAGATATTTATAATAGTGTATGATAGTAAGAACGTGCTTTTATGACAAAATCAAGTTCTTTTTTCTCATTTCTTATCAAGAAATTTCTTTCTTTAAAAGATATTATTTCTTGTTCTGATAGAACATTGGTTTCTTATTAAAAAATCGAATGTCATATATATATATATATTACCTTTTTCACATCTTCTCGTTAAGTCGCATACCTGATCATCTTCAAAGCTGATCTCTGATATTATTTTTTTTCGTCTTTAGTAACAAATGTACTACTTTGATTATGAGAAAATAAGTCATCAGCACGTCTGAGATTAGCCTGATCTTTCTTCTTTTTATTCTCTTTCTATTCGATCCATTGTCGACGATTGATCTGATGACTGTGGGAGATAACTGCTTCTCATTTTTTTTTCTTCGATGCTCGCCTGTGGCGTCTCGGATCTTGCGTCACATCTTCATTGTGACCGCTGCTACTAATACTAGCACTGTATGCACACTACTGTTGCTCCACCCTAATGACAGCCACTGCTATCGTATTCCATCCATAATGAAGAAGTAAGTTGAATCTTTTGTTTCACTCTATCTATTTATTGTCCTTGACCAGATTTTATACTAGATTGATTGCTTATGTTGATGGTGTTTAGTTCAAGTATATCTATCTTTTTCAGTGTCAACATTCAATATATGCATAATACAAAAGATTAATGTGCTTGAAATACGGAGACGATGACTAGTTGAGCGCATGTGGACACACGTAGTAGAAGAGTCATTATATAATGAATGCGATCTGACTGACATATATATATCTACATTTATACGAGATGAGGGTAGTTAGTTCAATGTCATATATTGTTTCATTGCTAGTGTAAAATAAACGAGAAAAAACAAAAAAAAAATTATAGATAAAATGATTACATCATTTTCAGTGAGACTAATGAAGGGGAGCTGTTGCCGTCGTTGTCATTTCAACTCCATTACGATTTCATGTAAACGAGACAAGATCGCTTCGCTTCTCACTACTATCTAACATAGAAAATGCTGTAAGCAGCCTAGCGTCGCGCTGTTGGTGATGATAACAGTATAGTATATACTGTTTACATAAGTAATTGTTGTTTATGGTAGAAAAGAGAAGCAGAAAAAGATAGATTGATATGCATATCTTCATCACTCTCTCGTTTTTTTTTTCTTTTTATGTATTCATTGAGCAATAAGAGAAGCACGATACCATTTATTTATGCGTTCCTTTTTTTCCTTTTTAAGACTAAGAACTATGTAAAGAAATATCTAATTTGTTATGATTGTGCATTAGAAGTTGCTTTATGGCTTGCTTTAGATATAAAATGATCGACGTCGCACGCGTCCGCACGTACGCATGCTTGAGACGACCGACGGACAACATAATGAATAAATCAAATTGTTCACGGACGAAATCGACACACATACAATATATAGAAAGACACTGTCGAATTAGAATAACTAATACAATTACGCTATGTGAGTCTGTATTGGGTTGTCGCCGATGTTCGTTTGATAATGCAATCTTCTCTCTAATAATAATAGTGGTCAGTTGATTTTTTTGCTTGTCTATTTCTCTTTTTCTCTAATCGGATGTCAGTATTTCCGAATCAAATCAATGATAGTAAACGATGATGACCCTTCTTTAGTTTTCTTTTCTGATCTTTTTATTTGATACAATTCATGTCTTCATATATATATATATACGTTACATGTGGAATGTGTGAAGAGATGACCATCATTTCTCTTCATCTCTGATCGCGTGATGCTTGAGTGTGCATGTGTGTATGTGTGTCTCGTCACAGACATGCTATGCCACAAGAGGAATGTATTTACATATACGCAATGTAAAATCGATGTGTATATGTATGTTTTGTAGCGAATCTAATTGCTTGTTAAAGTCGCGTTATGTGTCGTCTAATCCTTTACGCCACTATCATCAGTCTGTATGTGTCACCACAAGGGAATTAACTTATTCGTTGTGAACATGTCAGACAGCTTGATTTTATAGTACTTGTTTCAAACACAGTTTGAAGCGTCTAATCGATCTTTTTCTCTTTTTTTGCTACTCTTTCGTTCTTTCTATCCGTCTGTCTGTCTGTCTGTCTTATATTGATTGACGTACGTTCAAGTTGAATAGTAGCATCAGTAGAATCAATTTGTTTTGAGTGCTGCATGGTTGCTTATCTATAATAATGATGAAGAAGGTAGTTTGTTATGGAATACGAGAATAAGGAAAAGCCTTGACTAGATACTGATATTTGATACATACACAATCATAACTGCAAATGTTCATCTTCATCATTATTACTTCTATTTCCTTAGACAGATTGACGTATTTAGATGAATCTATTATTGTCTGCATGTAATTAAAAGGTGAGATGAAACATTCAACAGTTGTTACCATTGTATAAATATATGTGACTTTTTTACTTTAGCTTCTGAATGTCACTACCATAATAGTGTCGACGCGTGAAGGTTCAATAAATATAATGTCCATCGGTAAGAACAACAATGTGAAACGGAAATCGATTAGACTTTTTTTTTCACGCTTTCTCTCTCTTTATGTTTCTCTTCACATTTTATATCCGACTATTGAGATGAACATCCAATTCTCTTAATCTTTTGTGTGACCGTCGTTTCACTCTCTCGGGAGATTGTCGAATTTCCTCTTGTCGTCTGTCTATTTCCAGGTATTGTGTCTAACGACTTCGATTACTGTGACTGTAGTTACTTCGTTTGTGCATCGCCGAGTAATTGAGACATGTTCCGGTTCAAGCCTGTTTTCCGGATTTTGTTTTTCTCTTCTCTCAATCGTACACACGCGCTCGAGCGCTTACTCTGTATTGTTTCACATTATTTTCATTGTTATCGTATGCAAAGCATCTTGATTCCACACGAATGAATGCATTGTTCAACATGCGTAGATTCTCACACCTGAACCTTTCTCATTTTTTTTCTTCTGATTTCCTATATACATATATATATATATATATCTATAGGCATTATTTGAGAATTATCATTGTAACATAGCCAAAAAATCTTTCAAATAGCAAAAATAAAAAGAGAAGACGAACTGTTCGTATGCAGACAACGGTGATAATGGGCGGTGGTGAGTGAAATCGTATGTATATGCATGTATATGTATGCATATATACGTATCTAAACGTTTGGGATGATACTAACCGCTGATGACACATATGACATGAGGCGGCGAGACACCTCTATTCGATAATTGGTATTGGCCTCCGTCTAAAAAGAAAAAAAGAAGAACTTTATCTATTTTGTTCATCATCGGATTGTACCGTTCAGCTAATTAAACTTGACCTTTGTTTTTTATATTTCTAAAGAATTCATTTCGTTTTATCGTACTTATACTCAAAACAGCAATAATAAGACGAAGAAGAAAAGTATTATTTTAAGTTTTTCTTCTTCTCGAATGATCCATTTATATTTTTTTGTTTGTTCTAATCTGCATATATACGCACACGCCGCTTATTATTTTGACCATGAACAAGAATAAATGAACAAATGCGATAACCTTCGTCTGATGGCTATGTTTGATCTTCTGAAAAAGAAGAAAAATTCTTATCGTCATTTCTTTCTTTCGATATCCGTTTCACACATTTGTTTAATTATAATAAGACAAGATTATTCTTTCCAATCTGTTTCATATATATTGCGTCATCTATAAAAAAAAACGTGCATCAATCCTTTCACTCCCTTTTTTTTGCCTGATCGATCATATATATATATATATATGAACATGAGATGAGCATGTACTATGCATGCTTGAATTATTTTCGAAANTGAATTTTATACAAAATGAGATACTATAGTAAGCGAAATCTCATCCTTGCATTTTTACTAACGAGTTAATTTTTATGGAAATCAGCATTGGTCAAAAAAATCGATGATTCAGAAATTGCTTTTAAAAATACAAAAGTTTTAAAAACTATCATTCATGATAAAATAAATAATAAAAAGCATGCTTTGTACAGCTAAATTTCACTCGATGAAAAACCCATTAAAAGCTGTTTTATGTTTTGTATTTTACAGGTTTCAATCGAAATACGAAATCGACCAAAATAGTGCTCTGTAGAATCACTATTTTTTACCTTTTTGGAAGCAATCTGATGACAGTTTTTCAATTTTAGCTCAGAAGAAATTTCTAAATGCATATTCGGAAAGAGTCTGATTCTAGTTAAGTGTCTCTGGTCCTACCCAGTTATCTTTAAGTGTCCGAGAAATGAATGAAACTTTTATGCGAAAACTTTCGCACCATAATTTAGTTATGAATTTAGTATAGATGTGACTAAGAAAAATATATGAAAGAAACGTCTCTGCTCTTCAAGTAAAAAAATGTTTGTAAAAACAAAATAAAGTATTAGTTTTATGGTAGAAACATGTTTATAGATGAGAGAGTTCCAGTTTTTAATTGAATCAGATCGCTATGAACTTGATTTTAGTTGTAAGAATCTCTATATAAATCACTTTAGAAATTACTTGTTCGGCATTGCATATTATGAGCGAAAGACATGTTGTCTATAGTGAACCTATAAGCTCCTTTTTTAGATCAAAACATATACTCATTTCTAGAATGCACCAACAGTAATGTTAAAACATAGTTAATTATTTGAAAAGAAAGTTGAAATTTGTCTAGAAAATCAATTTACATAATTTTAGTATTTGAATGTATAACTATCATTTCCAATATATATTAGAGATTTCTAATGTTTGAATAATTAATTTTGCAAAATCTATTTCTCTTTAAGGCATTATTAGTGGATGTTTATTAACAATATTATTAGTTATTCTCATCGTTCTTATTATTGTTTGCATAAAAATACGTTGTACTCAACGAAAATCTCATCGACGTTATTTATATGGTACTGGTATAAATCCGGATGAAAATGAAAAAGAACCATATAGTGATAATCTTCTAAATCGAACTTATCAAAAACTTCAACCAATTGAATCAAATATGACCGATTCATCACCATTAATAACCATTCCAATACGTTCTTATATAGATTATTTGCAATTATGTTATTATTATTATTCTTATGATCCATCATTAATCATACCTTCATATGATACACCAAAAGAAAATTTAAAACATGAAATTATTGATCAATTTCAATTATTATTTGAAAATAATGATCAATTTATTGAATACGTTTATAAAATATTACTCAAATCAAATAATAATAAAAGACTTCTTAATAATCTTATATTAACACAAAGATATCATTTTAAGAAATTATTACAATTTAATAATGATTCTATTTATTTTAATGTATGTATTCTATTAGCTTATGATGGATTTTTAACAAATCAGATAAGTTCTTTATTTTTTCAACTTTATTATCAATTAAAATATAAAATTCATTCGGGTCCTATTGATGCTATTGAACAAACATGTTCATATTATTCATTAAATAACACAACAATATTAAATGATCAATCAACTATATTTAATTCTATTCAAATAATTGTTCATATCGATTTTAATAATTCAGATGATTTATTATTATTAAATGTAACATGTTTAACATGTGATACAATAACACAAGTTAAAGAAAAAATTCTTCATCAATTAGATTTATATAAAAAAATTAATTCTATATCAATAAACGAATGTCAATTATATTTATTAACAAATATTAAATCAAATAATAATTCATTTTCAACATCATCATGTTCATCATCAACAACATCATCATCTAATGTACCATTAGCAAAAAAATCTATGTTAACACAATTTTTTTTTAATCGTACAAATAAATATTCAACAACAACAACAACAACATTAAATGATTCATATAGAGATTCAATTAGTTTATTACTAAATGATATTGATAATACAAATGAACAAATAAATCATTGTCAAAAATTAAATACATTACAACATTATGGAATTCTTAATGATGGTTATGAATTGAAAATTATTTTACCTTATCGAAATAAACAAATGAATTATGTTAATCAATCAAATAATAGTCCAAATCTAAGTATGTTATTTCAAGTTTTAATCAAAACATATTTACAATAGTAGACAAAAGTTTCGGCTCAGCCAGTCTTGACTACTGTATCTGCTGAAGATCTGGAAATTTTTGTACATGCAATTCAGTAAGAATGTATATCATTAACATTGCGGTGCCGTTATTACTTAGTTACATAGGAAGTTATGATGGATGGCATCTATTTTCTGTTATCAGTTTCATAACTCTATATTCCAGTTATCTACATTACTGATTTCATTGAGGGTTATCAATCCTTTCAAAGACTATGTTCAGTTAACTATAATGATTGATATGCAGACAAACCATCTACTGTTTTTTAAAGGTCAACAACTCAGTGATAATTCAATGAAACGAGTTCAAACTTTTTGAAAAGCTTTTTCTACAGTTTGACACTTACCTGTCAATTTTAGAAACAAATTTTGCACTACAGGCAAACAGAATATAGATAATAATCCTGTTTGTTCCAAGGATATAGAAACATCAGTATTTAAGCCAATGAATTTATCTTTTAAGTGAAGAAACATTGTAGATGTGACTTTAACTGCATACCAAAATTTCAAGAATCAGTCATCTTTTTTAATAGAAAACAGCATACAAAAAAATGATTATCGTCCATCATAACTCTCTTTGTAATTAAGCAATAATTATATCGCAATGTCAATGATCTACATTCTTGATGATGTACATGTACACAAATTTTTAGATCTTCACTGCATGCAGTAATCAAGATTGACTAGAATGGAGACTTTTAGTCAATTATTGTATATTATGCACAGTATTCTACATCTGTCTGTTTGAATAGATTCATTCGAAATGAGGTATTCAAATTAGAGAGTAGTTAGGTATTCTTTCTTTAGTTGTAATACGGTACGCTGTTATCAATGAACTTTTCAAAAATATATCAATTGTTTTTTGACTTAACCTAAAAGAAAAGGCAGTTGTGAGAGTTCAACAAAGCAAGTTTCTTCTGTATGATAAGATTGTTAGGATACGCTATAGAATTTTCAACAATTATCAATACTTCTACAGATTTGGGAAGCTGTATAAAATTTCCCTAATATGCTAGAATAACTTCTTTCTGATGAAAGAACTACAACAATAGCCAATAAAGCTTTTAGAGTTAGAGAAAAAATTTAATATTTTTTTATTAGTATTTTATTAATAGAATTGTTCGAAAGCGAGATTAGTCTTTTGATTAAGTTAGTTCTTGTCATTATACGTACAAATAATAAGCTCTTAATTTATATACGTGTGCTTTATGATATTCTCCGTTTACTATAAATGCGATATAAGAGTACAAAACAACGAATTTTATGATTGCAAGATCCTTGAAGTTAACTGCTCTGCTTGCAGTGACTGTCAAACGTACGAACAAATATAAACATTATTATATATATTAATTATGATTATGAAAGTATATTTATATTGTCTTCTTTTTCTTTTATTTTAGGAAGAACACTTCATCGTAATAATTTTGATTGTCAATATTGCACAACTGATCTTAAAAATACCTTTAGTTATATAACATCTTTACCATTATCATCTAATTCTATTGGATTATCATTAAGTGAAAATGATCGAACACGTTATTTTCATTTATTAAATCATACATATGAAGAAATAGGTGAATGTGATCATTTATTAATGGATAATAATCATAGTAAAACTTATCGTTTATTTGAAACAAAATCAATAATACATTCAGTATTAATAAATCTTATTGAAACATTATTTACAAATTTTCTTCATAGTGATACATATTTAAGTGAATTAATTGAACAATATTCACGGTTTTTACATATATTCTATGGACATTTTATTCCATTGATATTACAAAATTTAAATTGTTTATTTGATATAACAATTGATAAATGTTTAAAGAGTTCATTAGATATTCTAGCAACTATTTTTCAAATAGCTTGTTCTTGTCAATCAAATGAAGAAAATTGTCTATTATGTATAGAATTAACAAATAATCATAATACAAATTTGAATATAGTAAGTTAAAATAAAAATAAAAATTTATTCTCTTTTTTTAAATATTGAATTTAGAACACTCAAAATTGTACATTATTATTTGCTGATGAAATTCAACGTGTTCGTTTACATTATTCAAATTTAGAGCGGCGTTTAAATAATAAAAATTCAAAATCTGAATATTCATCAACTAATACAGTAAGATAAGAAAAGTTATTTGAAGTATTCATTTATAAGCTTCTCTTTTTTTTGTCTTAGGGTATTAATAAAAGATTTGATTTAGATCATTCGATAATTCATGATCTTATTGAATATTTATGCTTACATGTCGAAGAGGTTTGTTTGATGAAATAAAATTCTTTTGTTTTTCATCTGATGTTGTTTTTCTTCTCTTCATGTTAGATTACTGATCTATTGAAAAATCGATCATCCGATAATAAGAATTTAATCATATTTTTCAATCTCGTCCAAATGTATCGATCGACTGGAAGAACTTGATCTGATGAGTTTGCTTTTATATGTATTGCAATATAAGTATATCTACTTTTCTTTTGTTTTGTATGTTTTTTATAAATTCATTACTCTTGTCTGATTTTTGAAATAAATGGTCGATTTAAAAGAAAAAAACTTTATGATTGAAAGAATTCATCTGATGATATTTACTAAAGCGAATAGATATATTTTCTAAAATGTACTGTAGGAGAAGTATGATAAATTCAGCATCTATTGTATTGTTTCTTTTTTGTGCATTTCGACAAATTTAATTCTAGCTAAATCAAGATATATTGAGCAACACAATGAAGAAATTGTAATTCTAGTGGAGTTAATTTTATATTAAGTCAAGTTTGAATTAGGAATATTCAGCGACCATCAAAGAATATGTGAGCCTCTCAGTATCTTATCAATATCTCCTTCAATGTTCATTACTTCAGTTTGAATTTTTGAACCGAAACATTCCTTCTTTAATTCTCGACTAATGTATATAAAATGTTTCAATATATAAAATAACAATCAAACATTTTGCACTGAAAATTACCCAGCATCGAAATGATGGATTTTGAAACAGCATTTTCTTTCAACAGTTAACTCTCTTTTCTCTTTCACTAGATTTGCGCCTAGCCATGTTCATGTCAGTTTTCCAGTGTTCTAAAGTGTACTCTTTCTCATCATCATTCGTTAAGACTATTTAAAAAGCATTGCAATGGACGCACGTCAAGATTTCTTATCGGACGATGTGAAATCACTGAAATTTGTATTTTCATCTCACGGTACACTTGGCAAGCAAATCATTTATTTTCAAAACAGTAGCAATATTTTAACACGACAAGTTAGTACAAAACATCGTCACAGTAAGTAATTCTACAAAGCGACGTAATTATTTTTATCGAAATCTCCGAAATGTTTACACAGTGAAAAAAGTCCAACTGCACACCAAACACACGTACAAATGAAATTTGATTTAATATTCCGAAATAGCTTTTCAACGTCTTGCCAATGGGTCATTAGGCTTATTTGTAGCATGCATGTTCAACAACTGAGAGGAATAAAAATGATTGGATAATGTTACGAAATATCTTATGACCTTTATCCTAAAGTCTTCAACTCACAATGTTTGTCTATTAGTTGTTATGCTGAAGCGTTTTATACGCATCTGTAAAGTATTAAACGAGAGTTTTGGAGTAAGAGTTCAAGTGAAGTAATCGACATCGAGAGAGATATTGATAAAATACTGAGAGGTCTATTTATTCTGGAATGTCTCTTGAAAAGAAGAATATTTTAAACGCTTTCTTGTCTCTTAGATTGAATGAGCTTTATTAATAGTTTAGTATTATGTTTTAGTTTATCACGACATCACTTGTTGAGTGTGATTCATCTTCGGTAAGATAGGCTTCCTGTAACTTATATATGATATAAACTTTTCATTTTTGTTGTACAATGGAGTATGGATTCAAATACATAGTATCTTCATGGTATTAGTAAAGTTGATGCTATACCATGTCAATCAATTCTATCATTGCAGATTTTATCAAAAGAATAGTCAACCATGAATAGAGTGCTCTGGATATTTATCGACGTCTTAAAACAAACATTTGTTTCCTTGGTTTTGGATGAATGAACGATACTGTCTTAATACATTGGTAACAGCTTCTGATTGTAAAATTGATTAGAAATTTTTCATGTGATCATCAGTTTGTAGAAGTTTTAGATGTTATCTATCAACCAGGAAATGACAATGAAAGCACAAAGAGATTAGAAATTTGTTTTGTATTGCATTGATATCGTCATTTGTGAGTTTTCGTCGTTTTTTACTTACCAGACGTATGCATCCAAAGTTGTCATTCCCGGTCACAATGATTTCGAAAAAGAATTCATCAAAATACTAGTTCAAACGTGAGGATAAAATTTCATGATCTAATCAATACCATTCGTTTTCCAATCTTCACCAGTTGTTTTTCCAAACTTCGAGACAATCAAAACCATGAAAAACTGATTTCGTTCACCAAGGTTGTATGGACAGCTAATAATAGATAATGAACTATATAGGTAGTTCAGCAATAAATTCATATTATCCTCTGAAAATATGTTGATACGTGTTGATAGCAATCTCGTAAGCATGAATTTTGTTGCGCCACCTTGATCAATCATTTTATGATTCAATCACTTGACTGATCAAAACTTAGAGAATTCGATTTTCCGATAAGAGCGCTACAAAGATTGTAATGCTGATTATCGAAACTCGCATTATCGAGAAAAAAGATTGTCGAAATAAAGATTATCGAATTCTTTTGGATCATCTACCAGCTTAGAGTTAGCACTGAAATCGACCTAATGACTAAACTTAACTTGGTTCCTAAGTCAAGCTAGTAACAAAAGTGATCAACTTAGTTACTAACTTGATCGTATTAGTAACTTATTGCATGATTCACTTAAGTTAACTCGTACCTGACAGATTCGATCATTGGCATAAAAATCGCCGATAGCCAAATCGTCAAAATGGTACTTTGTGAAAATGCAGTTCGGCGAATTTTGACGATGTGGCTTTCGACGAGGAGCATACTGATCGACACAAAACGAACTCGTTGCTGTGAACTGTAAGCGTCTCGAGCAGCAAAGAGTCGTATAATTGATCATAGACGCAATTATTTGTTTCTAATCAGACATCGATTTTTTTTCGGTAATCGCTATCCGCAGATTCTGATCGCGATACACAGCCAAGTGAAATTCGACTACTATCTAGTTTTGCTATCTTGGTACATAACTCGAATTCGTATTTTGTGTCATGATCATCTAAAGACCTGAGAGTCGTACCATATTCGTTCAAATGTTGTCACGTAATTTCATTTCCCTATATAATTAGTTTTCTTTCGAAGCTTCAATATGAAGTTCTGTTCGTTCTCAATTTGCTCCACAAAATAACGATTTTGGAGTGAGAATTTGGGTTCGTTTCGAGATAATAAGAATGAGTTTCAGCAGTAGCAAAAGTGACTCGATCTACTGTTGTTTTCATCTTTCCAATTTTTCCTTATATCAAGGATCGGTAATCGAAATTTAGAATGATTTTCGTGATTTGCTATACCAACTTATGAATACCTATCGGTTGGGTAAGCAAACGACGTGGCCCATCCAAAGCATGAATCTAACATCTGAAGATGCATATCTTCGCTCAAACATTCGGTTATAAATTGAATGTCGATTGTTACGCACTGCTTGAAAACAACAAGCCAGTGACGTGTCTGGTTCAAACCACAATTATATATGGCATAGGTACTTTCGATAATCATTTCGCTGATTCATCTGCTGACCTATACATAGTATCCATTATTCTAAAAGCAAAACTCATTCACCTGCTATTCGATGCCCACGCCAACTATGTTCCTAACGTTTCGCTTGACTAGATCAAGTTGACAAAGATTCAAAGCGCAATAGAAAGCTTGTTTCATCATTCGAAATTAAGCGTAATGAAAGCACATTTCTTGTAGTCATACTTGTTGCGTCTTTCGCTAAGACTCTGCTGATTGACAATGAGCAGCAAACCAAGCATTTCTGTTTCAAACCAAATCCATAAAAAACAAAAAAAACGACAAAAGAACAAAAAGACAGCGTAGTTAAACAGAGCACAATTGGAATTCTTGTACATTATCGCTCGGATACAGAAATGGGTGTGGGTAAAGAGAAGTAACAAACATTCAAAGTCTCATGTCCAGTCTCAGAAGAGTCATTTCATGTGTTGTTCATATCATCAAAATAAACTAAAATTGTATTCTCTTTTCTTTTACAACACTGACAAGACATTGTCCTCTTCTATCACCGATTAGATTCATGCTAATGTACAGTGTGGTCAGTGTCTGTTTTGAGCAAGCAGTAAATGATGGATAAAAAAGATGAGAACGTTACTTGATTACTTTCCATAACTTTGGCAAGACGTTATGCTCCTTCGTCACCGATTAGATTGTTACTGAAGTCCAGTGTTGTTAGTGTCTATGAATGAGCATAGGAAAGCTCGAATAATGCAAGAATTCGCGAGGAAATATCTTAATGGGACCTACACTCCGTAGTTGTTACTTCAACTAGACAATCTTTAGTTTAGTTCACGGACATGGAAATGTATTTTTTTACGGAAAGAAATACTGAAAAATGTTAGTAAGTACATAAAATTTTGTGATACATATAAATTGTCTTTAAATTGTTGTGGGATTCAGGATATGAATTTCACAGGTCTAGCAGAAGCAGTGAAGTTCAGTATAGGCGGAAAAATTCTGGAATAATTAGTCCTCATACTTGCGAATGTTCGATGTAGAAAAACAAAAATTTTTCATTTATAGGAAGAATTGTTCGTGTTCTCTTCTTTAGTGTACTGTTTGACTCTTTCGTTTGTTTTTTAAACTTTCTTAGAGCTGCTTGTGCTATTTTGTTTGATGCGTAAGGGAAAGAAACTGCTCATCTGTTGATCTGTAGTAGTTATGTGAGAATGTTACAAAATCATTTGTTTTAGAAAGGATTGGTCTTAGTAGTGTTTTCGTTACTTCGATTTCAATAATAGACTTTGAAATGTAATTTCAAGTGTGATTCTCTTAGAATTCTTTAAGCTATTGTGGTCTCTACGAATGATAATCATTTTCGGAGTTGCTGAATTATTACTCGTGGCGTTTGTTGTTAACTTGAACTATTGTGAGTGGTCAATCATAGTTTTTGACTGAAACATAAAGCATAAATCGTTTTCAACACAGCGTCAAATCTATTCGGTTTAATCTGGTAATGGGTGATTAACGAAAGAAAATACTCCAGCAAGACGGTATATAAAGATTGATATGTTACAATGAAAAGTCGCCTACTGTACGTAAAGGAGATTGGACATATTGGGATCAAATGAAAGCTCTCACCGCTAAACTAACAAATTTCAAATATTATATATGCCCAGAGCGTATCTAGAGAAAGTGACTTAAATTTCAAGGTATGTGAAATTTGGGTATAAAAATGAATCAGGAACAATTTTTTCC